GGAGGAGGTACTGCCAGGAGATCAATGATGTACAAGGCAGTGCCACACTCATGAGAATCGTGGCGAAACAGGCGACCAACAAGGTCAGCACAATTAAGCTGCTTAACGGACAGTATACTCAAACAGGAAGGGAAACACCGAATGAATTATTCAGAGTTCAATTTCCTGGTTCACAACTGATTGACAAATGGGACAATGGACAGGGTCAGCATAAGCTGCACACATGCCAAAGCAAGATGAACAGGGTAGACTGGAACCTGGCCAAAGTCATGATTAATCAATCAAAATACGATGGGCACTATCACTTTTAGACCATTTAAATCAGCGGGAATGGATGGAATTGTACTGGCACTTTTGCAACATGGGGCAGAATTTTAAGTTCCACACCTACGTCGCATATATAGAGCCTGCTTGGCATATGGTTTCATCCCCACAGCCTGGAGGCAGATTAAGGTGACGTTTATTCCAAAGTCCGGGAAACTTGATTATACCGAGGCTAAGGCTTATCGTCCTATCAGCCTGTCGTCTTTCCTTTTGCAAACGATGGAGAAACTAGTGGATAGGCATATCAGGGACGGGGTATTGAGGACATATCCTCTACACCAAAACCAACATGCCTACCAAACAGGTAATCTACCGAAAGTGCACTACACAATGTGGTAACTTGAGGGGATGCTAGGTTTAATTAATATCACAGCACATTTCTATCCTACTCTATTTACCTATGTCGCTATATACATATTATCTATAATTTGCCGACGTTCGTCGGTTCGCAGTACATGTGGTTATGACCCTGTGGTACACACATTAGTTCTACTCTTGTCACCCTGCTATTGGGTATTCTAGTCCATGTAGTCTTCACTTTCGCTCCCTGGGGTTTGCACTTTAATATTATCACACTTAATGTTCATGGCTTATATGAGTAGGTTCACTTACTTGCACTGAAGAAGCAGGCCACCATCACCAACCAACAACTACTCATCGCCATCACTCTCTCAGCGATAGCCTACGGCTGACTGTGTGACAATTAATGATCTTTTTTTGCTTGATTCCTCTAGTGATTATGTACCCTTCTTTGTGCTGACTCGCTGGGTTCCAGAGGTGTATTCCCCGCCCATCCTGACGTGATTTTGCGTCGGTGTGGCCCACTCATTGGTTGTTTATCTAAAGGGGGTTGACTACTTTAGGTCTACCGCCCTCTCCGACTCAGCAATTTTCTCATGCCCTAGTTCTTTTATGTCCCACTTCATATAAGCCCCTTTCTCAATGTCAGCATTATTACACTGTCATGCTAACATTCCAATTACACAGCTGTTGCTTCACTTCTTGCATTACACTTCTGTGCAAACCTCAACTTCTTGGTACATTCTATTATTTATATTTCTTAAGCTTATCGTCTATAACATTAATTCCAATTAACCAAAAAAAGACATATCTGCCTCTACATAACATTTGGGTCATAACAATCACTTCTTTGGCCATGGTAAGATCCAAAGATGGGGCCAAGTAGAGACTGTGGTGAGTGGGGCCCACAAGGTGAGTGTCTCTTTTCTAAATCTGGGTTACAACACTTCTTACTAAATTTTAGTCTTGGTGGTTTCATTTACTCACCTTTGCCAGACACCCCCCCGCCCATTTTTGTATATATATTGCTTTCTGGAATGTGATGCCATGTACTCTTGTAGAAATTTATCAAAGGTTCGGAGATAGTGCCATCATTTTCAGGGCCAAAGAGGAAGGCATGGAAGCAAGCAGACTAAGCTCTACTCTCCTTCCTGCTTGCTCACCTTACTCTTCGACCTTGAAGGTGGAGAGCGGGATGTTCCTCTTAATCCTCACCACTGCCTGGTCAGCAAACAATACTCCTTACCCAGTTGCAAAGACAACATTCTGTTGAAGTAAATAAAAATTGAATGATACAAGACAAAAACAGACTCCGTGATTTTAGTCCGCAAGCGAACTATACTGACAAGAAAGAAAATGTGGTGTCAAGAAAGTAAGGATGGAAGGATTATGGAGATATATGATGAGAAATTTGCAAAACCAGTAAATGAGCATGAAATTTGGAAAATCAGAACTGAACAAGAACTGAGGGTGAAGCATAATACCCCTGATCTGGTAGCAAATACTAATACAGAGAGACTGAAGTCTCTGGTGAATGTGATTAGATCAGAACAAACAGAAGTTTCTCTACTTTCAGGCTAAAAATTACCTTCTATTTATAAACCTACTCCTGCTTAGTACTGAGGTTAAGGACGTGTGAAGCTCTATCTCTATGGATCCATATACTTCCATGGCACCACATATAACTGCATGGATAAGTTCAATTTACAACAGTAAACACATGATGTTGATTAAAGTGTTATTACAAGGTGGTTCAAATATGACCGGGACTGATTTTTTTTTTAAACCAAAATTTCCAAACACTTACTTGCGCATGTCAGTCTTCAACGTACTCCCCTCTGGAGTGAACACATTTTTTCCAACGCTCTGGAAGCATCCTGATGCCCTTTCAAAAAAGTCTTGTGGTTGGCAGCGTATCCACTCTGGAACATTCTGGATGACGGCGTCGTTGTCCACAAACCACATGACTTGCAAGTCTGATTTGAGCCTTCCGAACAGGTAGAAATCACTTGGTGCCAAATTGGGACTGTACGGCGGATGTGTCAGAAGGTTCCATTTCAATTTCCGGAGGGTTTTCATTCTTGTTTTGGCTGTATGGGGGTGTGCATTGTCTTGAAGGAAGGCTACCCGCTTTCCACCTCTCTTCCGCTTGGATCTGATCTTTTCCTTCACGTCTGTTGCCAGGAGGTCTGAGTAATAAGCTGCATTGACGGTTCTGGCATCTGTCAGAAAGTCTACATGGATAACCCCTGCCAGTCCCAGGAGAACGTTGCCATCACTTTTCCTGCCGAGCGGCTCCTCTGCGCTCTCTTGGGTTTGGGAGAACTGGTATACCGCCACTCACGTGATGATTGCTGGGACTCGGGAATGAAGTACTGCACCCACGTTTCATCGGTGGTCACTACAGACTTCAAAAATGCATCACCTTCGTCTTCAAACTGCTGTATGAGATGACCGGCAACTTGCATGCGCACCATTTTGTTCACATCCGTCAAAGTGCGTGGTACCCACCGTGCATTCACCTTGCGATAGGGCAGGTGATATTTCACGATGTCTTCTACACTACCAACACTGATGGACAGCATTGCTAAAAGTTCCTTGATAGTGATGCGCCTATTCTCACGAATAAGTGCATCTGCACAATCAATGTTTGGTTTGGTGACGGATGTTCACGGCCGACAATCATGCGGTTCATTTTCCACGTGCTCTCTGCCCTCTCTGAAGCACTTACACCACTCAAACACATGGGTCCGTGTGAGACACTCTTCCCCATACTGTTGTTGGAGTCTCTGGCGAATTTCAGCAGACGGGACGTTTTCTCCAATGAGGAATTTGATTACAATGCATTGTTCCATGCTCCATGATACCTTCTGTATGCTCATCCCTCTAGCAACTCCCAGACAGCACTGAACAGGTTCTAACCCTAACAGGAGGGAGAGTGGAGGATGTGGCTACAATCTCTAAAGGTCGCACAGCTGCTGCGCAGTGCGGCTTGTTTACAAAAAAATCAGTCCCTGTCATATTTGAACCACCTAGTATTTACATTATTATATTAATGAATACAACTTCACAAAATATTAACACATATCAGGTACTTATATGATTAAAATATGACACCAGTTTCAGATGACAGAACGACACACTGGCTATTCAACTTGGTTTTACACTAATCTTTTAATGGATTACAGAAAGTACTTTTGTATCCTTCAATAAGGTTTGGGACAAATAATTTTACTTCATAAAATACCACTAATGAAAAAATAGACGAATATCTCCTCTTCTCTAGTGCCGAAAAAAATACACAGTGAGGTGTGAAAACTGTTTTAGGAGCCGAGCTCACAGATTGACCTTCTGCTTTCCCCTTGCATGGGGCTCACTGCAGACTGCTTTGTGTGGAGTTCCAACTCTTTTTCACCAAATCTTCATTTTCAGTCCATTCATTGTCAGTGCAAACCTCCAGATGAATTTCCTCTCAGCAATTTGAGAAGTATTGCGCTTCCATTCAACAAAACTTTCTGCAGATGGCTGAGTTTGCCTTGTGGGAGCCTGTGTGACTTGCACTGTGCCAGGTAACATAGGGCACGGATGTTTGTGTTCATGGCGAGGTGCCCCAAGCTTGCCAATCATTCCTGAACTGCCAGAAGGTACAGTTCCATGCTTGCTGGGACTTGCTAGAATACTCACATTGACGTGGGTGGCCCTGGGATGTCCATCCCTGTAATGTCACAGCAGAGTCATTGTGAGAAAACAGAACCATCAGCAGCAAAGCAAAATAAATGTGAGGTTAAGAAATGTTCATGTTTCATCACACAACTTACACACATTTTTTTCCAAAATTTCAAAGAAAAAATTTGATGCATGATTTACGATAATGTCTATACCACAAAAAATATCACCATATGTGCCATCTAATTTTAAAATGAAATGTTTCAATTTAAATGCCTCAAGTATGATGGTTACAAGAACTTTTGGGACATGAAGTTGTGCTAGTACAGACAAAAGATCCGGATGCATAATTTCCATTTCCAATTCCTTCAGGATAAACAGCTTGCTGACTACCTGGCAAAGGCACTGCACTTTCATGGAATGACAGGGTAAGGCTTCAAAAGTAGGTGAAACAAGAACGAGTCCCTAAAGGGTTGGAGGATGTACACATCTTCCAGAACATTCTTCGAACATGTGGCACAACTTTTCTGTGTTCAGAATTCAAGAAGAGGAGAACATATTTCAGTGCAGATCATGATGAAAGAGGATTCAAGATTAATGGAATTGGAGGTAAAAAATTTGACCTCAATCTGCCAACTGTTCTTTTCAACTTACATAATCATTTCGCATGAGGCTTGTTTCATGTCAAGGGTATGATTGATATGAGGAGGGCACTTACCCAGCTTCTGACGTTGTCAAGGATCACAAAACATAGGCTCATTAACCCATGTTCAAAAAAAGACTTAGGCAGTCACTTAGCTCTTTACTGGTCACACTCCCTTACTGAAAATGAAAACACCAAACTGGATATAAATGAAGGTCCTTTCTTTCTTGTAAAAGTTCATCCTGCCATTACACAGGCCAACAGCTGTTTTGGTGCCAGGGTATTTGGAGCTGATTTCATATGAATTTGATGCCCTGAATTCAAATATGGCATTAGTTTTTGCCTAGGAGCTCAAATTTTTAAGATATAACATTTTGGTGAAATATACGTTACACTATTTTAAGTTAAATCAGTGGATCAAATAAAAAAACTCAACATGGAATTTTTATTACTATATTATAATTATATTTTTATTTTATTATATTAAATACAAAGATAGAGGAAAAA